GTTGGAGCTAAACACTGCAGGACACCGGCCCTCCAGGAGCGAGTTTGGAGACCCCTGTTGTACTGGATCGTGTGATATAACTTGGCAAAGTTCGCCATCTACTGTACAGTTTCTAACCAATACAGGCATTTCTGAAATCGCATATCATTTGATATCAAAAAATCGTTTAATTTCTTAAAACTTAAATCAAATTAGTCTCTTCATTTTTATATTTTAAATGTTTATATATAAGCAAACGTTGTCAAACTGAGCCATCTCCAATCGAAAAATGCAACTTTAGTAAATCTTTTTAATATATTAAACATAATTATATTTAGTAAAACAAAGAGATCTAACAAGTCAATTTAAGTTTAAGACAACTTATAGGTTTGATACCCATAACAAGTTTTTAGTAGTTGATTATAATATTAAAAGTAAAGTCAACTTGTCCCCTATTTTCCCCTTGCGTTAAGAACATTTCCTAAAGCTTACATGAAATAAGTGACAACATATCAATAAAATATGAGATGTACAGTAGCAGGTCTTTCATCCTACCTCAAGATGAAATTTGGTCGATCTACTCGTCGTCGCTCTCTGAGGTCTGGGCTCATTGTGTCGTCTATGAACTAGTCAGGTCTGAACAAAATGGCGGCCTTCTGCACGGGATAATGAGGTGTCTCAAAACTATATACAACATGTCACTTTTGAGACTGTGTGTCTATTCAGCGGGGTTAACTCGCAGTTTTGCGGTTGACAGAAGTGTTCGGAGATTTCTGAATGGCGATTATTGTCGCCTGTGTCTCAGATTACGGAGTAATGTTGAGAGACAAATACAAGGTAATGATAAACAGTTTTATTGTCATGCTGTCATCTCTCTTGTCCTTCGAATCACAGTCTGTCTTTTTACTTTAGTGTCATTTGTTTTATATCAAGTATATTTAACATTTAAGTTTAAATTAAAAAAAGTAAAGCGCTGACTTATTTACATTGATGATCATTAATGTCACAATGTCAAGGAGGCTTTGATATGTGACGGTCTGACAGTTCAAACAATTCTATGATTTTTGCTTCTTGATGCACACGTTCGGTCTTTGATGTACGTCTAAACTAGCTCTATTATGTCTGTATGGATTCTTTGTTGTACTGGGTGTTATGTCTCTTTGTGTATTCCAGCAGCAAACACAAACAGTAGAGTTGGTAAAATTTTTAGGTCAGCGTTTTATCTTTCATTTCTCAGACAAAACATGGGCTACAATTTACCAAAGACACTATTCAGCCATCCCTAAGAAGGAAGATGGGAAGAAAAGATTCTGGGAACAGTCTCAGTTGTTGGATGGTAAGGTATTTTTTATATATATCTAATGTATATCATTGATGTTATATGAGAACAACTGAATTTTATAGCATTTTTTTAAGGACAAATTGTCTGTGTGATTTTTGGTTGGGTTAGATTTATTTCGATTTTAATTTCAAGCTAAGTCAGTTTTATTTATGTAGCACTTTTAACAATACAGACTTTTTCAAAGCAGATGTACAGAAAATCACAACGTTAATGTTTATTTTAATATTTTCATGTCTTGTTGTCGCATTTAGCAGATTAGAGCTGGACAATAGTATAGTTTATACTATTTATTTTACAATTATATAAATAATCCAGCAATTAAGATTTACTATATAGTACATAAATATTATGTGAGTTTATGGATGTATGCAGTTAAAAGTTACTGTATATATCCAACTTTATATATAGAGCTGTGTGATAATATAGCTTAAATTTTGCAATGATACTAATATAATTTTTTTTTACAAAAAATTTTAATACTATTTTTTTTTTTGTAAATCATGGTAAAATATATGATAGTCATTATTTTTTGCTCAGAAAAAAATAAAATTAAACAGGACACATTCTAATGTTTAAAGAACAAATTTTAAAATCGTATTAAACTTTTATTGTTTTGATGCTTGAAAACCCCATTTTATCTTTGATGCTTATATTGCTTTATGAGAGTGTACTGTATGTATGTGGGTAAAGCTGAATGTGCTTGTATATCCAACTTTAAATATATTAATGGGTCATACTCATAATATAGTTTACAACATGTAATGAAACAATCAAGCAGTTGAGATACATATCAAATTTAAACTTGAAATTATTTAACTTGATATACATTAATAGATGTTAATAGTTACAATATTTGCAATAAAGTTTACTTTTTTATACATGCGTATTACTGTCATGTGCACTACAGTTTTCTCTTAAAATTATTTTCACAGTTCTGGAGGCCAGAATCCAACAGCTGCAATCTGAGTCCGTTGTAGACATCAAACATTCAAAGGTGCAAATCATCAAAGTGCAGCAGAAAATAAAGAAAACGTCACCTGGGAATAGTCAAAAGAACTTGCTGGGAGAAAAAGCAGAAATGCATAAAAGTGGGCCATCTGCCAAAAAAGTTGTAACTGAAGGTGTCATGCCTTTCAAAAGTCACGCAGGCCGCTGGATGGAGAAACTCAAGCGTGAAAAGTGGATTAATCCCATAAAACAAACTTCACATAGAATGCACGACAAGCCAGTTGTGGGTAAAAGCAGCAAAGGTAGTTCGATGCTTCCTGCTACATCTACAAAGACCATCACAATAGGCAAAAGAAGTAAGACAAACACTAAAGTAGAAGACTCCAAAGCTACTGCGTCTACCACAACGTCCTCCAATGTCTGTGCTGTGCAAAAAAAGTCTAAACAGAAGGTTTCAAGAGTCTCAGCGAGTTTAGTCGCCAGGTTTCCAGGAGTGCAAAAGATCTCCAACAGTAAAGGTGGCTGTGTTACTGAGATGTCTACACAAGAGAAACGGGCAGATAAAGAATTTGATGAGAAAGAGGAGCTTAATGTAGACAACGTAATCGAGCAGCAGAGCTTGAGTGCTCCTGAAAAGCTTCTGGAGGATAAGGAAGGAAACCGCTATGGAGATCCTCAGCTCAGAATTCGTTGTTACTTGGAGGCGTGTGTTTTCATTGACGATGTAACTCGAGCTCAGAGCTTTCTACTTTCTCATCACCGTCAATTATCCAAACGAATGCACTTGTCTATCAGCGCCTACAACATCATAATGAGGATGTGGGCCAAAAAAGTATGTATGAATGTTTGCATCTCTCTTTTTACATTATATCAACATTTTTATAAAAAAATTATTAGACAACAAAATTAAATAAATGAAAATATAGTAAACAAATGCATATGTCTGTGCATACAACATTGTAATGAAGATGTGGGCCAAAAATTTTGACCATTTGCATCTCTCTTTTTACACATTTTTTTAATCAAAAATATAATAAACAGAAATATTGCAAATTTAAATAGCTGTTGTTGTTGTTTTTTTTTAGATTTTAAAATGTTTTTTTTTTCTATAATGGCAATGCTGAATTTTCAGCAGCCATTACTTCAGTCTTCAGTGTCACATGATCCTTCAGAGTCATTCTTAAAAAACAGTTGTGCTGCTTAACATTTTTGCGAAAAGTGATAAAAAAAAAATTCTGAATTATGTGATAAATAGAAAGTTCAAAAGAACATCATTTATTTGAAATTGAAATATCTGTTACAAAAGTATTAATTTATAATAAAAAAAAATTAATGCTCCCAAGCTGTTATTGTTTTTTTATGTCAGAGTCCTGTATCTCTTAAACATATTTTATTAAATCTTTTAACCTAAACTTTTGAATGGTACTTTTTCATTTACACACACACACACACACATATATATATATTTATATATATATACACTAAAGAAAAAAAACAAGCAAAATAAATATAAATGATATACACATATATATATATATGTATATCATTTATATTTATTTTGCTTGTTTTTTTTCTTTAGTCTAAAATTTTATATTTTTCAATTTTTATTTTTTTAGTATTTAGCTTTTTCCTGTCTCTTTAGTTTACAGTTTTTATGATTTTCCATTTTATAATGTTTCAGTATTGTTCTGTAACACTATTTAAAGCCATTTTTAACCATGCTGTGCAGGGTTCCATCAATCACATTCGTCGCTTGTTCATTCTGATTGATGAAGCAGGTCTGAAACCCAACGTCGCGTCTTACAGCGCTGCTCTGGAGTGCATGGGTCGCATGCCTGTGTGTCAAACATGGATCATTAAAAGGTAACCACTTACTTCATTTATGTACTTCAGTGTATTCCAATCACAACTATATATATATATAGGTGAATCCAACAGATGGTGCATCAGTAGTTTGCAATGCATTTTGATTTGGAAGAGGTTTCTTTTTACCCCGACACATGAATGCTATCGCTATCATGAATCTCACAAAGACATGATATGGTCATTTTTTTGTTCCAAGATCAAAAGGAAGAAAAAAAGAATATATATATAGTTTCTGAATGAATCCGCGTTTTGAACGAATCGTGTGAACCAATGATTCAAAGAGAGAGCCGTTTACTGAATTCCTGAATAAATCAGCCGTTTGAACGAATCAACTCATAAAGACTTTTACCGCCACCTGCTGGTAGTTTTAGTTTCTTCTTTAGAGTATCATTTCGTTTATTTAAATAAATAAATAAATTAAAATAAAACATTAAAGGGATAGTTCACCAAAAATAAATAAATTCTGTCATCATTTACTCACCCTCATGTTGTTTCAAATAATTGAACATGATAATTGCTTTAAATTATTTTTGGGGGTATTTTCACAGCCAAATTAATTTGTGATTAATTAGATTAATTAATCGCAGAACCCTGTAATTAATTAGATTTAAAAATTTTAATCGACTGACAGCCCTAATATATATATATATATATATATAATATATATATATACATACATACATACATTTTTTATTTTGGGGTGAAATATTACCCGGAAAGGCTTTTAGAACAGTTAGAAATGTACAATGATGGCATAATCATTCAGTTTTAGAGTGGTAAAATATTAATTAACAATATGAGTGTCACATTGTTTAACGGATTGACAGTTCCAGACGGTGTCTCTAGATGTCAGTGTTGCAGTGTGCAATAATTCATGTGTAACAAACACTCCTGCATTCTCTTTAGATTCCCTATAAGAATCCAAATTAAATTGATAAACATGCAAATTCGTAATGACGCTCATATATATGCTTTTTTTTGATGAATACATTGTCCATGAACCGATCCATTCATCCATAGCACTATAGGATTAGTCTGAGCCTGCCTTGACCGTGCCCAAAAATAGAAATTCAAATTGTGGTCATTCATCTAAAGAGCATTAACTCAGTGGAGCGTCATTTTCTCTCTGGTCATCTATTTGTTTTGTGTGCTGCTCATTTCCGGGCAGAAGAATTTAGCAGATGAACACCTCCTCACTTGCATTTAAATAGGGAGATTCTTGACAGAAAGGGGCCAGATCAAAAAAACTGTTGTTTTGGCGTTATTTTTGAATTTTTTTGCCTCACTTTTACACTTTTTGTGTAAACTATATGGAAGCATCTGCTAAACATGTTAAAAATGATCAGATTCACGTTGGTTTTAAATCCACCAGTTCTGCCCTTTATGCTCCATATTTAGCAGATTGTTTGTTACCACACTGTAACTGTTTTAAGTGATTTAATTGATTGCATTAGGCTTTTGTGCTTCTATGAAGCCTAATACAAAATCTCCGAATTTGATAAGTTCTAAAGGTGACTGCTGAGGCAAATGTGGTGCAGCTCAGTGACAGCACAGAGGGACATGTGCATCGTGGCTTGTGGCAGCTGGTTGGGTGATCGATCACTGTAAGCTGATGGCAAACACACTGTTGTGCAGTGGAAATCTTCTTTCTACAAACCCCAGAGGAGCCTATTTTTTACCCATCTGTCTCTCTTTGTTCTCCTTGCCACAGTTTCAATTTGTCTTTCAGCTCTCATGCGGCACCGTTGTTGCATCTTTCGCTGCAAGCCAAGCTTGCCATCCTCTTTGCACATTTGGTTTCATGTCACAATCTTTTGGACCAGCCGTTCACATTGTCAAGTGCTGTCAGTGTGGAAAGAATAGATTGAAACCTGGGAATTTTGACATCTTGACCTCACAAGGTGCATGCATAAAAATATATATGCGTGAGGCATTTTACTCATGTAATGTGTCCAAAATTTCTGACTCGTTCAATATATAGTGAATGTCACATAGTTTACAGTGGGAAGGAGTTAGCAAAAAATTATTGAATTTGGATGGACCCGAAATATTGCATACCTTGTGTTTTGCCCGAATCACAAACCTAATCCAACCATTCACGCTGAAAGCATTTGAATCTGAATTCACACCACATGTGTTTGGATTTAGTTTGTAAACATTCAACCTATAAATGGCCGATGTTAAAATTCAATACAATGTTGTCAAAATAAATGAAAAACAAAATGGTAAAAACTAAAGTAAATTGGTTTTAAATGCTACAAGTGAATTTAGGCATCACAACATTATAATGTACCACCAGTGTTATTGTTAAAGAGCAGGCCATATGGTATTTTAAAGTGTCCTAATATTGTGTTGGAGTCCTCTACAACAGGTTTAAATGCATTTAAGGTCAGAAAACATTGTAATTTTCTCAGAATATACATTTAATATTAGTCAGAGAGATGTCAGGCAGGCGGGGATTATGCAAACGTGTTACCCAGTGACGTATACCGGTAACAGGCAAAAGATTTGAAAATATGATGACTCGTTAAGGCGATTCAGAATCGACTCTCTCTTTTGAGAGACAATATTTTTTATCGTGCACTTTTTTGATTAACAACTTTGCAGACTGTTTTCATATAAGGATAGCTACGTTATAAACTGCAAAAGAGATATTTTTCAAAACCCCATATGACCTGCTCTTTAACTAAAACGATAAAAAATATTAAACATTTCTTTGTTAATTGAAAAAAAAAGCTGAAATAAAATACGCACACACACAAGCTGATGGTGCCACCTACTGTAAGGTCTACTCCACTTAGTTCTGCTCGGCCACACAAAGGCTTAATGCTTTTGCATAGACATTAGCTTGGCAAATGCAACGAAAGCAGCGCTTTGAACGCTCCACAGAAAGCCTAAGCAGAGTCAACTCCCACCAACCTCTATATTTATCAGCTTCTTTTGTCCCCGACAAGAGATCAGCCTTTAAAAGAATGCTTCAGGATTACCCTGATATAGAGGTTTCCACCTCTCCTAATTGCATTTGCATCAGTAGAGGGTTTAACATTTACAAGAGTATTGAATGCAACCCTCAGGAGGTAATGATGCGATTGTTCCTCTGTCACACTCAAGATGGAAAGATTAAAGGAATGTCTTTCTCAAGGCCTCACATTGCCCTTGACGGCTTAATCTGCTCCATGTGCGCCCACTAGAGGGCACTGATGACTCATCTTCTGTACATTTCACTCCCAAAGAAGCCTGTTGCTTTGGAAACCATTGCTGCATTCTTGGAGGCTTTGGAATAACCCAGTCTGTCCTGCAGACTCCTGGCAATGTAAAATATCTCAGCCGGTTACAGACCCTTACAGAATAAATGTGCTTAAACCACTAGTTTACAACTAGTACCACAACGCTGTTGAATTCATGATTCTGATTGGTTGATAGACTTTCTAAGGTGTGGTTAATGTTGAATAAGTAGTTCCTGGTTTGTTGAATGCATTACAGTTCTGTATTTTGTTCTCTCTGAGCTAGAAATAGCCACTTGGACTGTTTCTTAAAGGAATAGTTTGCCTAAAATTTGCAAAAAAATTACTCGCCCTCAGGCCATCCATACGGAAGTCCTAAGAGGCCATGGATGATTAATATTTTTCTTTCTTGTTTTCTCGTTATCTCGACATAACGAAAGTTGTTTTCTTGTGATTACGACTTAAAGGGTTAGTTCACCCAAAAATGAAAATTAGCCCATAAATTACTCACCCTCAAGGCATCCTAGGTGTATATGACTTTCTTCTTTCAGACGAATCCAGTCGGAGTTATATTAAAACCCGTCTTTGATCTTTCAAGATGTTTAATGGCAGTCAGTGGGTGTTGCAGTGCTTCAGTCCAAAAGAAGTGTCTCACACGGCTCTGGGGGGTGAACAAAGTCGTCCTGTAGCGAATCAATGCATTTTTGTAAGAAAAATATCCATATTCAAAGCGTAATAATCACTTTAATCTAGCTTGCGCCAACAGTTGTACACAGAAGCAGC